GGTCATCTCAGGTTACTAGTTTATATCCACAAGCCTCCCTGTTTCTAGCATATTTGTTGTCTCACAGACTCAGGGGTGGGGGGGGGGGGGGGATGTTACGCGAGTGGTTACATCTGTCGGAGGCCTCCACATGGGGAAGACAGACAGGACAGGAGAAAACTTCGACCAATCATTGCATTTGGTCCGAATGCAATGATTGGTCAGAGTTTTCTATGAGAATGGTATAATGATGAGTTTTCATCTCTGGTGGAATTCACTTACATTTTAGTGTGCCATCAGCTTATTAATAACATTTTAACCTAAACAAAGAAAAGTGTAAAATTTCCAGAAAGGTAAGGGTTGCTTTAAGCTGTTTATTTGGCTAAGGAAAATTATTATCATACTAATATTCCTGTGTACATGCAACCGTGCATACTTAGAATGATATGCCTTAAAATGTCGTTTGTTACCTCAAAATATAGAAGAATGGAACAGTTGGAGTCACTTGTGCCATTTTACTACTAATGCATCAAGTTTTCCACCAATGGCGGACTTGTTTGACATGTGCAAACACAGCCTCCCTCTTTCATTCCTTCAACCACCTTCTTGAAAAGGTTGGTGTTGCAATATTTGCGCATATCCAAACACCTGTTTATATCTAAGTCTCTTATAATGTTTAAACGTAGGTGTGTTTTTTCTTCCAACCACAAATGTGGGCTTTTCTGTCGGGCATGCGTCTCTACCTTGGCTTTGCAAACTGTTGGTTAGTTGGTTTGTGTATAATGCATCCATGACAATGCACAGAGCTGACTGTAAACAGGCAAGGCACATAATCCAAATGCGCTGTATACATGCCCAAAGAATGCTCCTGAAACTTGATAATGACGGCTTATCCCACATCGGAAAATGCTCCATTTCAAAAAAGCCTACTTCAAAAAAACCAAACAAAATATGCTGTTTACATGGACCCTATCAACTTCAGAATATTGTCATATCCGTAATAACAGTGGAATATTAGCGTGCATGTAAACGTAGTCACTGATTAAAGCTTGGTTTGATTAGATTTGTGCAAGAAGGCAAACAATCATCCTGTGCCTCTCAGTAAATTTCAGTAAAGTAACTGTATTTATACATGAGAAGGACATTCTGGAGAGGAAAAAATATACAGCTTTTTAATCTGCTTAAAACTGTGCCACCAGTGGGTGTCTTTCAGGTTGATCCACTGGCATAAACAGCACCAGACATGCTCGAAAATTAAACACCAATCTCAGCACACCTGCATCTAATTACACTCAATCTTAACTATCAGGGCCTCATCAGCACTACTGCACTGTTAAGGATTCTGCCAGGCACTTCCTGTCACACTGATGGTGCAGAGGTGGATTACACACTTTACAGACATGAAAAAGCATGTGTGTGTGTGTGTGTGTTTGAATTGCATTTTAGTCAAAAACATACTCACTAATAAAGAAAATCACAAGGGATTGATAAGAATTTATGACATTTGTGCATTTAAAGTCCTTGGGATATCATTTGCAGGCTGACTGATGGTCGTGTTTTGATAATGAGTGTTATGAAATTGCAAAGAGAATGACTTTACAGCCTCGGGCCCTTTGTTTCTTTGGTAAATTCCTACTTTTCAAGCATGAGCGCCCAGAGGCTTTGGTCAAATGTTGCGATGCATACATGGTTCTCGTTATGATGGATTTCCACTGGCTTTATTATGCTCCTCTGATGGGATTTGTTGCAGTTAAACTGAATAGATGTCATAGCTGTCTTCTTGGATTTATGGCCAACAACAATTCAGGAATGAATTGTAACAACAAGCTTAAGCGAAGATGTCTTTTTTGTTTGTGTAATGTGCTTGTAGTTGTAATGCTCCACGCCCTCTCTAATCGGTATTCAGGATTGTAGATCTTGTCTTTCTTCTTAGATTCTGTGTAAAATTCTTACAAAAAGCAATACAAAACTGAAAATTACACACAGCAGGAGCATTTTCCCTCTGCTCACAAGTCCTCCACTCATTTTTTTAACCTGTCTTCACTGCAAACCAGAGAAGGAAAAGGCAAACAAAAACCATAGAGAAACTATTATTTGAATTGTGTTATATTGGTGGCATAATATTATCATCAATAGAAGAAGGAGTGTTTTGTTTGGTGGCCTTAGTTAAGTGAATCTTGCCATGCATTTCAACTTTTTTTTAATTGTCTGAAAAAAAGTATGTTTTTCTTTTTATCTGTCATTTCTGGAGAGTCAGACAATAGATGCAGCCACCGGTCAATAGGTGGCTGTGTGCTCAGCATCTCAGTGTGTCCGGTGTGGCAAGCCATATTGCATCATAATGTACCATCATCCCGGGCCCTCTCATCAGCCAGACTGTCAGGCCAATTGATTCATACCTTGGATTTGATGTTATCTGTGACTTGCAAATTTATGAGGTTATGAGAGTTATATTGCTAAATCCTAACTTTCAGTTTAAAAGTAGAGTGTATTGATTTATGTGCAGACAGTGTTGATAAATGAGGCCAAATGTTAAGGTAAGAAGAAGACAAGCCATACTGTGTATCATCCAAAAAATATTGTCCTCACTTCTGTTGTTACTTGAATTGTTCCTCCTCAACAGCATCTTGTCCTCCTACCTCACTGGTGTTCACAGACAACATCAAATGACTTGTCTTGCTATTGTAATGATGCCTTTTTTTGTTTTGTTTCATAATTAATGGCCTGGAGAGCTATACCACGGTGTGGTGTGGTGTTACTGACAAGAACTGAACGCTAATATGCATTTCTTGTCCTGCATCTCCATCACCTTGGTTGTTAGAGCAAACAAAGAGAGGAAAAAGTTGTGTGGCCCAAATTGCCACTTGTGTTGCTTTTAACATGGTCCGACCCGTTCAAGTCGTCAAATACAGCCTGCAAGTCAGACATTGACAGAAAACAGGCATCCTTGATACACCATCGGGCGGCCTAAGTTAATAACACAACCGGACAGTGTCAGTTTGAAACCTCTCCGGACAACAACGTAGTTAATGACCTGTAAAGTCTATATAGGGTGGCAGGAGGTGTAATATGTATGTGTTGGACCCAGATGCAGCACACAGGCACAATGACCTTTATTTAAACACAGAGTAAACAGGAACTTGAGCTGATGAAGATATTCAGGTAACAGTTTGCTCCTCAGGCTCAGAGCCCACACAGGAGATCAGGCAGGTAAGAAGTGCTGGAAAGTTTTGCATGTGGGTGAAGAACAATCTGGCAAAGAGTGTGTGTGCTGGAGAGGCTTAAAACCATGCTGACTGGCTGATGAGCTGCAGCTGTGAAGGCAGGTGAGAGCAGTGGGGTGATCAGGTGGGAGTGGCTGGCAGGTAGAGTGGAAAAACACTGGGAGAGCAGGGGAGCAGAATGCAGGCTGTGAGAGGAGGGGTGATGGATAGGTCCAACATCACTGGACTTTTGCCCAGGAGGCCAGTGTTCATTTCCCGTATAAATGCAGAGCCACACCATTGTGTTCTTCTTGCTAAACCTAACCACATGCTTTTGTTGCCTAAACCTAATCATGTGTGTTTGTTGCACAATGAAATGAATGTAAATACACAGTGTTTTACAAACATTCTAGGTTCATTTTGAAAAAGACTGTATGCATCTAACATGCAGAACCTTAAGAGTTCCTATGAAAACGCAAGTGTATTTAAAAAAAATACAAAATACTTTTGTTGTGTCCACATTGTAAGAACCAAGAACCATTGCAGTTCTCTGAAAGCTGTTATAAGAGATTTTGTTTTAGCTCCTGGAATCATATGTAACATAACAGTATCATGATTGGTCCAGACGTCATAATTGTGACTGGTTGAACATGGCCAATGCAGCACAGACCATTGCTATTTAAAAAACCAACCAAACAAACAAAAAAAAACCCGTTAGCCGAGTACACAACAGACAACACAAAACAAATAACAGCTTGTAATGAAACAAAATGGAAGAAAACTCATAGCATATACTATGTGACAGTGGAAATACAAGCCAAAGCCAAAGTGCCGTTGCTATACCAACCACCAGCTGACTTACAGTACATTACTTCAGTGCTCTCAATGGTGGTGTGAATGCAACAAGAAAGAAAGCCCTTGAGAGATGTAGCTCTTGGGTGAGCTCCCCAGCAGGAAGTTCCTCTCAGATAGTCCCCAGAAGTATTTGGTCGGGAAATGCCTTATGTTATTGTAGCATGTTAGCTTGAATGAATGAATGAATGAATCTTTATTGTCATTACACAAAATGTACAATGAAATTACACAGAGAGCTGAGCCACTGCTGTTACTGCAAGCGCCACCATCTAGCTTGCTAAATCTGCTTATTAGCGCTAATCTCAAAGTACAACTGGGGCTGATGGGAATGTCCATAAATTTGTTTTCATGACTTTATTATCGCCTGAAAATATCAATCATTGTGTTTTTGTTACCTAAGAATTAGCTGTTTATGTCTACATACGGAGTGGGTCCTCTCCCAGGAAGTCCGCCATGATGTTCTACAGTAGCTACATGCTTGGAGAAGAGAGAAGCTTGAGTTGGTAACCTATCTGCAACCTCACAGCTAGATGCCACTAATCCTCCACACTGGTCTTTAAGTTTTGATCCAATGATAGCGCTAGATAAAAGTCAGGAGGTCAGTTCTTAAAATCTATCCTGATGAGAACAGGAATGCATGTACCAAAGTTGGTGAGAGCAGGACATTTCTCTCAAAAAACACAAATATCAACCTCATCGTGATAGAGAAAAAGCTAAAGGGATACCCAAACTCCTCAGGAATGATCCTCTGGGAACCAGGAATCGGTACAAAGCTCCATCCAATGCATCCAATATTTGTTGAAAATATTTTAGCCTAGACCGAAGTGGTTGGGCAACCAACCAACCAACCAACATTGCCATCCATAGTTATGATGCTAATGTGACTATGAAATATCTAATTTCCTTTTATTGTTTTGTTTTTAGATTTCTTTACAGTTATCTTAAATGTATTTGCCTCTTTAGGTTCTTTGTCAACTTCCCATCGGCCAAACAGTACTTCAGCCAGTTCCAGGACATGGACGATCCAGAGGAGATGGAGCGAAGCAGCCAGCTTCGACACCATGCCCGCAGGGTGATGAATGCCATCAATACTGTGGTGGAGAACCTCCATGACCCAGAGAAGGTATCAGCAGTGCTGGCCCTGGTGGGAAAGGCCCATGCTATTAAACACAAGGTGGAACCCATGTACTTCAAGGTAACTTCAATGAGTACTTTCCTATACTTCCCAGAATTGCTTTCAACAATCCGATAAGGTTCATTGCCACAGGGGTGTTGTTTCATTGCTAGGAGATGTGTTGCTCTATAGTTTTGATTTATGTACCCACGAAACAAAAAAGACTGTGTCCTGAAACATGATTGTCGAGTGTGCTACTTCCTGGTTAAGTGGCACAGTGGAGGTATTTTCTTGCTTCAGCAGCCCCTTGAATTATCAAAGCATCCCATTAACACCCCAAAGAAATGTTTTCATTAGCAATCTAATCCCACAGGTGAATCCTCTGCCCATTTAAATTTACTCAGGCCAAAAAATGGCATTCCTGTTTTGCGCTTATCTGTTTTTTATGTCTCATATGCAGCTATTACTTGTTTGCACTTGTGGACAAAAGTACATCAAGCTGTAATGAAGCTGATGATGTCTTGTTCTATACCAAGTCTAAAAATGATACTTCAAATAGAGTGTATGCAGACTTTTTTGGGGCAGACCACATATTTCACCCCCAGCCTCCACGGGTTTTCTCAATCAGAGATGTCCATATGATGTAAATTCAAGAAATGATTCAGGAAATTACCTTGCCTATTTAAACTTACAGTAATATCAGGGTGAAAAGTGCAAATTCTATTGCACCACATCAGTGATGCAGGGTGTGGTCAGAAGTGTGCTCCGTTAACAGCTGTAAAGTGCAACACACACCGCCGCCATACGCCACGCGTCAAAATGCCCGCCTCCATTATATTCTATGAACCAACCCACACTGGCACCGGCCAATGCGCCGCGCCGCTCTGCTTCAGCCCACTGCCCTATTTCCAGCGCGGCCAGTGCTCATGGCGGCACTGCGAGAAAAGCCTTTTATGTACGTCCCGGCCGCCGTAGTATCAACTCCGGTTGTTTCAAATTTTTTATAAGACGACTTTGATAAGAAACTCACCCGTGAAATCCAAGTTGTTGTTGCCTCAAAGTTTTTCCTCTTCTTCTTCCGTTACTAGCAGTTGGCAACCGTTGGCAACTAGTGTAGGTACAGCCACCTAGCGGGCTGGGGTGGGAAATACACGTCGACGGTGCCACTGTGCGCCGCTGCCAGTGTGTGTTGGGGGGCGGCACTTGACGGCCACAGCGCCGCGCTGGCGGCGGTGTGTGTTGCACTTAAGACCTGCAACAGCAAGCACAAGATTTTAATATAAGTTACTCTTCAGGTATACAAATGAATACTCAGAAATCTACAAAGAACAATAGAGCAGCCCAAGTGGTAACGACATGCAAAAAAGTAAATAAGCAAAGTTATTAATGTTTTATTTCATGGCCAGAGCTATCCGTGTTGACTACCTGTGAAGGCAGAAAAAGACGGAATCAGAATATGTGTCATAAAAAATGTTAAAATCCAGTGTTTAATGTCTACCATATGGTTGCATAGTTTTCAATGTGAAACTCTATGATTGTTAAATATGATTCCCTCTTCATCTGACTGAAGAGGGGAAGCATATGCTTCCTCCGTTCGAGTCTTTGAATGTCATCTGCAGTTGGTTCATAAAGGCAGCTGTGAAGAGGACACATTACCGCTATTTCAGCATCCCTCCACTGGCTTCCGACTGCCTTTAGAATGTGTTTTAAGGTTTAATTGATCACTTTGTGGATAAATAATCAAATTGATTACCCCCACTGTGTATTCCCTTTGCTCTTAACCACATATACAAGAGTGAACCTCCTAGGTTGACATTTAATATTTTTGTGGTGACATGACACATTAGTGAATCATTTCAAGTGGTTTATCATGAAAAATGCCAAACATTTAGGCTGTTTAAAGCTTCTCAAATGTGAGGTCTTTTTTATTTTATGTCATTATGAAGTTGAATACCTTTTGGATTTTAAGAAGTAAAATATATAAATAATGATAAAGATCATAAATAATGTAAATAATAAATTTAACTGTATCCTCATGACATGCATAAAGTCTGCAGCAGTTTCTGAACATGTCATTCATTAAGCTTAATGCTTCAAAATAGTTGAATTTTGAATACAAAGTACAACCTATAGGCATTTCTGCAGCTTTCAGCTGCATCTCATAGCCTTTCTTAGCACGTGTAGATGCTCAATTGCCATGGAGATGGTTGTTATCAACCTAAGTATGGTATGTTGTTGACATGATAACAGGTGGTCTTATAGGGGATGTTGCAACTGTTAAAACTAAACAGTACATCCTTTATGGGAAAAAAAACCCTAATCATCTGACTCCTAAGAGTGTTTTAGTTCAACTAAATGCTAAACAAGACATTTAGGCAATCATAACCTTACAATTAACTTTCAATAACTGAAAACACACATAAATAGTGACAGCTATAACTATGCCTATATACTCAGTGAATCTGGGGTTACACCATGGTTACGTTACCTAATCAATGTTGGTGTCATGGTAGCAACGTGTTAACAGGCGGCACCCAGCTGTCACTCAAAGCGGCCACGTCTTTAATTACCTTTATTTACCTTTTAGCCTTAATAGCACATAAACAGGTGAGTTTTATAAAAACTCACCCTTTGTCTAGTGTAGCTACAGAGACCAAAACTGTTTTTTGTACCAGGCTGTAAACATGTTTTTTTCTTTTGTATAGTTGGGCATTTTAGCCCTGCAGGATTATTTATAGTAATAATAATTAGACTTTAAAATGTATTTATATAGCACCTTTCAAACAAAGTTACAAAGTGCTGTACAATAAAACCAAACCCAATTAAAACACAAGGAGAATAAAACTATTAACATGTCATAAAATGTCATCTAGTAAGAGATTAAAAAAGAAGGCCAAAGCTAAAATCAAGACAATAAATGGGAAATAACATCAATAAGATGGTAATGAAATAAACAGACAGCTCAGATAAAGTCAGGATATGCTTTCCGACAGAGGTATGTTTTTAGGAGAGACTAAAAAGCTAAGACTAAAGACTAAAAGCCAGTAACTCAGACAGCCTTATATCCTCAGACAGGTCACTCCAGAGCCTCGGGGCCCTGGTGGCAAAAGCTCTGTCCTCTTTGGTCTTAAGTCTGGACTCTGGGACAAGCAGAAGACCCCTGCCAGAGGTTCATAAGGGACGAACAGGTCTGAAATGTAATCTGGAGTCAGGCCATGAAGAGCCTAAAAAGTGGCAACTTCATCCACTACGGAAGAAGCAATCAGGACCCATCCATGACTTGCAACGATAGGCCGATCTCCAACCTTCCTTATTAGTAAAATCCTTGAAAAACTTGACTACAAACAACTGCACAGTTACCTCAACCTTCACAACCTTTGCTTTTCTCTAAGGCATATGGTAATTAGTCTGTGTGTGTGTGTGTTTGCGTATGTGTGTGCCTGTTGTCTGTAGGTGCTAACTAATTGTGAGTGTGCGCACTCTTTGGTTTGCTGACCAGTTATTTTATTTATGTGAGGTATTTTTCACGTTTTATATCTCATGGTTTAATTGTTTTCTATGTTTAACTGTAAAGCACATTGTGTTTACCTGAGTATGAAATGTACTGTTCAAATAAAATTGACTTAACCCAAGGAAGGCCATGAGATGTGGCCGAAAGCCTCAGACGCACTGAGTAAACTGACCTTATGTTAAGAACATTGTTGCCAAAATTCAATTTACTCTCTTCTCTCAATTGTCAGACCATTTCCACACGTCCCCAGTTCTGTCTCCAACGCCACTGCTCATTTACCAAATGTAAATGTACATTTCACTCTTTATTTTTGCTGTCCTTAAGTACTTTTCCACTCCCCACCTGTGTTGTCCTTTCTACTCTGTCATTTTCATTTCCTTTGTATTGCCTGTCCACCCACCACTTTCATGCTTTATTTTTTCAATTCTCACCTGCCTCGCCCACTTTTCTGCGAATTAGATTTTTTTTTATTCCCACCGCTCTGCTCTCACTTTACATTACTGTCTCCCTTCCAGCTGCCATTATCTTGATAGCCAGATATTCCCGTTCTTTCCGTCTCTTCCTCTTTTTTTCCTCCCTGTGTTAATGAAGTTTGTCTCTCTCAACCCCCTCCCTCCCAGATCCTGAGCGGCGTCATGCTGGAGGTGTTGGCTGAAGATTTCCCAGAATTCTTCACAGCAGAGGTGCAGATGGTGTGGACCAAACTGATGGGGGCGGTGTACTGGCATGTGACAGGAGCCTACACAGAGGTGGGCTGGCTCCAGGTCTCCAGCTCAGCCGTGTGAACAGTTTGGAGGAAGAGTGGGTAAAAAAAGTTTCACTTGCAAAGAGTTCTGTGAGGATGGTTTCACAGACATGGATGAGATTAACTTGGTAATCCGTGCAACTCTGTACTTTATTTTGGTGACGTTTTGGGTGCTAAGCCTTCATTGCTGTGGTGTTTCTACATTGTAGTTTCCAGAGATCACTTGGACACCAAAAAATATAGCCAGAACACATTTTTACATTTGTTCTAATGAAGTTTTAGCCAGTATAAGTGGCACTTTGGTCTGTGTTTTGAACCATGCAGCTATCACTGCTAATGCCAACTATCCAGCTCTTCTACTGTATTCCAAACAAATGACTGTTTCTGCCAAAAGCATACAACATGACCCTTCGCTAAGCCCTACCCCCCTTAGTTACTGTCAGCAGGCCTGTCGAGCTTTTCAGTCTCATCACAAACGCAGTTTACAATGACAGTGTTGTCAGATTACCTCTCAAAATTCTTGCTAACTTTTGCCACCCATTCTTGTTTCCAGGAGATTTTATCCTCTATCGCTAGCTAGCTAATTAATGTTAGCTTACTTCATTATGCTAATACCAACCAACTTGTAGTAACAAAAATCATGTTAAAGGGTCTTAAATATGCACCTGAAGGCTACATAACAGCTACCTGGTGTTACGCTAAAAGGCTAAAGCTACATGTGCTAATTAAAAACACAGTATCTTAACCATGAAACATGAAGGACACATAGAAACAAAGGAGCAGTATTGTTCTTGTTTTGGGGCATGGCTATATACAGTGGTTCAAACATTATTCTACAACAGAAGAAAAGTGTGAAGAAATATACTGTATTATAGCAATGTGGTAAAAGGAAAATGAAAAGGCACTGGAGAAAGCTACTACCATGTGTAATAAGCTAGTTAGCCGAACATGCTAACATTTGCAGCTAAGATTAGAACAGACCAACACATTATTAATGTAACTGTACTCTTTACATTTTTGGTGTTTTTGATTGGAAAAATAACAGTCTTCAAACTCTTGAATACCATATATTAATCTCACTACAGCACACTGCTTTAGCATGTTGAGAAATCCAATGTTTGGCTAATCTTTATAAACAGATACCTGCATGTATGCAGAATCTGTAGGCAATAGGACAAAATTTTGGTATTATAGGCATTCTGGTTTCTGTTAGTGGTCCGAGTATGTATTGATCAGTCACGTTTGCGTGAACTTTGGTTGCCTGCAGGTTAACAGTCCATGTGCAGAGCAAAAAAGGCAGAGGGCATTAGCTGAAATATAATCTTGGAACCCATCGACTATTATCTGATGATGATTTAGTTTTTTATTGTTTTTTTTGCCTGATTTATCTGCATTCATATGAAGACATCTGTTTAGAGAGATTGGCAGAAATGTTGTCTGGACCTGTCTCAAGTTGCCAATCAAACTGTAAGCAATGACCACAGAAGAGGAAGTTTTGGCTCAGATATCATTGCCCCCAGAGGCCGTATCTTCCCCAGACGATAGCTGATGGGTTCTGAGATTGAAGCTTGATAGGCCTGCTGTTTGTAGTTACAGATATAAGCTAACCTTATGTTGGACAGTTGCTCTTCAGGGTAGGATTTAGCGAACGGTCAACTGGGAATTGCAGAAGGAGACATTTATTTATACTAATATGTTACGGATTATGACTTTACAGAGTTCATTTCTGTGGAAACCTGCAGTGAGAGAAGCATCTTCCGGCTGAGCCACACATATGAATACACCTCATGATATTTTGAGAAACGAGATAGAGAAATGTTTAAACAAGAAGTGATTTTTAAGCTCTGAGAGGGGGCAGTTAGTTGTTGAAGCCCCGGCTATGGGACCATGGAGCTGCTGACTGTTAATAGATTCTCTTTGTGTCCTACTACAGTATATCCTCATGTTTAGGGGACCTGCGCCCCTTTCTCTCTCTATTGATGCATTGCGTGCTCTCAATGTCTTGTTTAACTTTACCGAGGTGTTGTTTGTATAAGTGTACAGTGGGCAAGTGTGCATACTCTTCTGCCTTTGTTTACAACTCATTGGCACGTCCGTCTGTTGACGTGTTAAAGAGGGCTGTTTTTTCTTTGCTAAGTTTAGCAACGATGCTTTAAGTTTCTTCTTGCCTATCACTTTCATTGCACAAACACTGACACGCAAACATTGTAAAAGTGAGATGGAAAATATCAGCGGGTGGACACAATCAGCAACTGCACATTTACACACTCACACACTAAGCATGCTATAGGACCTCCCCTGTGCTAATATTTAGAGGACTGTCAGTTAGTTTACCTCTTCAAAATCCCATCAGAGAGACGTGCCGCATTAAAGACTCCATTAAGGGCTTTAGAAAGTCACTCTGGAGGTCTACAGAAAACTCGTCAGCTTTAGAGGTACTATCAGTCTACCAGTCTCTTTGGACTTCAGACCCATCTAACATGAGAAATGATATCCCAATACATTCAAATATGAATTGCACTGCCTTTGTTCTAACATAATGGATGCTTTCTTCACAACTGACAACAGTGGAAGCCGCGCAGACATATTCAATTATCCACCACTCGTCAAACATGCTGCATACTGTCAAACTAACTTTCTTTACCTTACTCAACCTCATCTTCCTGTCATCGACACTTCAGTAATTAGATTCTTTGGACTGCATGCGCTCCTGCTAGCTGTCCCCATCTGCGAGTCTCTCTGGTCAATTCCCAAACATAAACGGCAAATCTGTTTAGGATGGACATTTGATCCAATCTTCAGTTTGCATCTGCTCCAGTGACGTCCTGTATCTCCCATCTGACTACCCTTGGCATCGGCATCTGGCATTAATGAGGAAGTAATGAGTCTCCTCTCCTTCTCATTTGGTCATTCATCTACTGTAACTTCCCATTGCCTCTGTTAGGACCGCATCACTGAGAGCAAAAACAATTATGACTGGACAGATGGTCTTAAACCCACCACACCATGGCAGCCATTCACAACAATAGTTCATAAAAAATGTCTTTCATTCCCTTCAAACATTCATATAATGTTACAAGTGACTTCCTGAAGGTATTAATTATACATTACGCTGTGCCTCAGAGGTTTCCAAACTTTTTCCATCAGCTTTCTTTTGGAAGCTGGAAAAACTCACGGCCCCCCTGAGGTGTAAATTGATTGGATTTTTATCAACCAGGACGAATTCTGGGGAAAGTTTTTATTTTTTACAGAAGCCAAGTATAATTTTATTGAAGTATCATTAGCAGGGACTGCATATTTCTGCAAGTCAAACACAGGCTGCCAAAGTTAGTGAACACAAAAACACAAGGCTCTCCTGCTGTATTGACAGTGAACTCAAGGGTAAGCAATGCTTCATATTTTGAATAAGAATGATGTTTTTGCTTGATGAGCATTACTTTTTTTTTCTTAATTCCCCCTTCAAACCTCTGCCCATCTTGTTCTTTATGCTACATTATCTGAATAAATCTTTCTAACAGGAATCATGAATACCTCACTGGTATTTGAGAACACTTGTTTCTTTATTGAACGCAGGTGGAACTAATAACCACAACTCCATTCCTGCAATTATTGCAACACACCAAATAAATATGCCATTAGATACCTGTTTTTGGAAAGTCAAAATGTCTCTTGGTCTGTTTAACTGAAGTTTAATTCAGTATATGCTTTCCCCTTTTATTTGCTCATGCACTGTTCCTACATTGTCCTACAAAAGGTAATGCACCATAATTTGTACGTATCCCACGTAATGATTAGCCAGTAATTCGTGCATAACCCACATATTTTGGAAGCTGCAATCACATGACCAATGCAACTGACAAAAATAAAGAAAAAGGCCATCTCAAGTGGTTCAGTAAGGAGGCAGGTTGGAGCAGTGGATGAATCACAAAACATAGGACTTTTCCCCGGACTTTCCGAGGAGACAGGTGTTGGGAACTATGTGGACTTTAAATGAACTTTTAAGGTACACCCTGACCATGTTTCATTTCCAAAATCTCAGCTCAGTAACTGTACTTGCCTAAACCTAACCTCTGTAATTTTATGTTAATGATGTAACTTTGCATTAAGGACATTCGTAGGGCGCTAATTCGTAAAATATCATACAAACTATTGTATGAAGATATGCTGAATGGCTTTGTGCCCTTCCCTAGTTTGAGAACCACCGCCTTGGGCCAAACTGTTAAATCATCAATTAAATGTCTTCCTGCATTTATAGACATGTTCAGTGTGTGCATAAATAAAAACTGAAAAACTAAAAATGTTAAAAATTGTGTGTCACTAATAGCAAAATGAGAGTGCAATGGAAAAAGGCTTAGCAAATAAACACTTGATCTTGATTCACCCAACTCCAGTAAAATATCCATGGATGGAAATGTGCATTAATTCACATTTTCCTTTGCAGATTTTTGGGCTACATTTATATGGGCAGCGGAGTATAAAGGTGGTTCCAGTGTGAGCTGTAGTAAATATCTCCAAGTATCTCCCCTGAAATGGCATTATAAATTATTCCACATCTGTGTATGGAAGCCATTAAGATCCAAGAACAAATCTCAGTATCTCAAGTCAGTATCTTGTTCCTGTGATGTAACCTTTTAGTTTCCTTGAGATAAGGAGATGCTATGAAAAAATGTGTTTTCTTGAGATAACAACACATTATAACTTGTGATCATAACAACAGGGTTAAAACAATAATTGCAACCACAGCCGCTCTCGGCTTCAGTACCTGTAAAAACTGGCCATTTACATTCAGTGTAACTTCACTAAGAGTTCCTTTTCAAGTTGAACCAGAGAGTCGTACTCCAATAAATGGATAAAAATACTTGCAGGAGTCAAACAAACCTCAAAGTAAACTATTTCCACTTTGGTTCAAATAGCTGTAGAGGCAGTACAGCTGTTGTCAGTTATAAATGATCCGTTTCAAAATACACACCAGTCCTATTCTTTGCCCGACTTCTGACGTCAGCGTCACTCTGAGGTCAGACCTCAAGCACCTCGAGTTTCACGAGTATTTTTGTTAAGCAGAGTTCCCCCGACATCTTGTTTATTAAACACTGTGTGGTGAGAAATCTGTCTGCAAACACACAGACACACACACACACACACACACACACACACAATGGAGATGAACTGTTGCTATTGCTAAGGTGCAGGTTCTGTGTGTCCCTCTTCATGTATATGCAGCATGTTCCTCGTCACACCATAAACACACACACACTCACGCACAATTATGTGCAGACACATCCCAATAATGCTTACTCACTTTCTTAATCACTTTACTCACACACACACACACACACACACACACACACACACACATGCACACACATGGTCTTGCATTTAATTGGCGAGTTGGGCATGTCCTCGCATGCCAAGTGTACTACAGCAGCACCTCCAATATACATTTTCAATAATCCTAAGACAAAATTAGACTCAATAACTCATTTCACACAACATCCATTCTTTTTCAGCAAATAAGGGCATCACAGCATATGTGGAACTGTGTGTTTTTGTTGTGAAATGTTTCTGTCTATCAGTTGAAAAGTTAGGACTTTATATTTTTCTAAATATATCTATGAGAAGGATTCTATGTATTTGAATACTGTATCTGAATATGTCATTGTATACTGCGTTGTTGGTGGGAGAGAGTGCAGTGGCTTTGTAGTGTTTTGAGCATGTTTGCACAGCCTACCACAGACTTGTAACCTCGCAGACCTGGTGAAAATGAATCATGACCATCAATAAACTATACTTGTAAATTTGTTACTGACTGAGGGTTTTTTATTTTTAAAGAATACATTAGATTTGATATATAGATGGATGATACAGACGAGGTTTTCACGACTACAACCAACAAGTACAAATACACCGTCAATGTGCGGGCTGAAACTAATCAGAGATATCACTGGTGAAATCATGAAGCACACAGGTTACATAACAAAGTCTACTCAAAGGCAACTGGCTGCTGGCCCATGCTCACCATAAAATGTTACATCCAGGTTTCATCACCTGGAAAAAAAAATGTTTGCATTTTTACATTTCACTTACATTTTTATCTAGTGTGACATGCAGTGAGGGCAAGAGTTGGATTAAAGAAATCAAACATTTTGTCTTTACCTTTCACTCGATTTGTTTTCACCACTGGCAACAAGTCACATCTTGCAAGTTTGATCCATGACAAAATGTTTTATTCTGTACAGAGTCATTTCCATAATGTTTCCAGAATGGACCCAGGAGAGTTATTTTTTATTTCTGAAAAAAAAAGAAAAAAAAAAGACATTTACATCATAACTTCATGCAGAATAGGCACAAATTGGTGCATAAAAAAAATCACTAGAATGCAGGAAATTGTTTGATGCTTGAAATTTCAGGACACATAAGTTGAAATGAAACCTATGCCTTTGCTTAGAATGATAATCTGAGCCTGTCAGTTACAAAAACAATCACTTTCAGTGGATGTGCACTGACCATGCGAACATGCCCTGAGTGGTTACATTGCAGCCTGTTTCACTGCTGCTGGCTGCAGCTCTCTTTTGCAATACTGCACCAGATTCAAAAATTGTTGTTCTCATTAGTTATACACAAAAACATGGCAAAATATGGTCCAGGCAAAAAAAAAAAAAAAACGTTTCCCTTTAAGTAAAATAAAAAAAAGAATATGACAATGATAAAATGACACTGAAAATAAAAAAATGTGCTAAAATACAATGAAACAGGATAAACAGAATAAAAAAATAACAGTGCAGTGTGAGATATGAATAAAAGCCCAAGATTTTGAATTAATAGAAGGCAATGGCAAACAGAAAAGTTTAGGTCATGCTTTATGACAATGTACTTCAAATTTACAGTGTAATTTTTGGCACTAATGGTGTACCAGTACACTGTTTTTATGTTCCTGGAACATAAAAAATATTTCTACTTTAGGTATTTACTATGATGTGATGTTCAGAAAATGGATGCTGCTTCTCCTTGGGATGTGTGGATGGTTTAGTAATGTAGCAGTAGATTAAAATTATCTTTTGGCCCGGAACCACTTGGTGCTTTATAAACCAGTCGTATTTTAAAATCACCTCTTTGACACACATGAAGCCGGAACAAAGATCTGAGAACTGCTGTGACGTGTTCCACTTTGCTGTGTTAGTGACTCTGGCAGCACAAACTAAAGAGAATGGATTATTTTTCTATGTATTCTATTTGTTAAAACGATTTTGCTCCTGGAGGGCACATCAGTGTGTGTTTTTTCCTGTCTTTGCAGTCTAATCCCGGTTTTTAGATTACTTTTTTTATATCTCCGCAGCCAAAGGTGAACTTGATCCAGATAACCCAGCACATATCTCCAGCCTGCAGGTAGACAGTGCGCATACTCTGCTTGGCAGTCCCACTGTTTCAGGAACAAGAGATAATTAAATGGAATGCGATGTAAATGTTCTTAATCAATGATTAATGGTTTCCTGTTCACTGCTTGAAGCTCCAGGCGAGACTCTATCTAAGGCTCCAGTGGGAGGTTCATGGAGGGAGGAAGATGCTCATTTTTCAAATCCATACAGCAATTTATTCAAGGCGAACATCTTATCATCAAAGACAAGTTTGTTATATCTGCTCTCTGAACACAGGGAACTTTTTAATATTTTTCTCTTACATGCTGTATGTTGGAGTAATTTTATTTTACAATTCAGCACTTTTCACACAAGGTTATTGAGTTGATTGGGTTGAGAATGTACTCATCACCTAAAGGGTTCAAAACAATATTTAGAAAATCAATTTTACCGTCCTGCTGCCTGGCTCGAGGAAACGGAATAGGTGAAGCAGGTAAACAACACCATGACAGTCTGAAAATAGAGTCACTCTCCAATGAATGTACAGCCTGGTCGACAGGACACTGACTTGTCACCATGGCGACACATTTTCCCACTGTCAGACAATGACATGTTCCAAGAACACCGGCAACATGGGCTGATCAACACACCTCGACAAAATCTACTTTGCTTATTGAGAATGCGCAGAGGCTAATGACTGCTAAACTACATGCTAGTAATGAGTCTTTAACCCTTCCATGGTGTTTCTATTAAATACATATGTCTACAACATAAACTGTTGGCCACAAATGCTGGTTTGGTGTAAGGCCCTGTACACCAATGTTCAAAGATGCTGTCTTCTCCAAACTCTGTAGGTGCCTGAACTAACAACTAACAACCTAATCGCCAGAGTAAGTGTTGGCACTGTGCGACTCTGCAAACCAAGGATATGTTAAATTTAAATTCAATGTTGTGGCATCGCTGTGGTTAACTTGTTAGCACAAAAAACACTTGGTTAGAGATGGGAAAACATCACATTTTGGCTTAAAATACCTGGTTTGGTTGCTACAAACATGGTTAGAAATGCCCTGATGTCTTGTCAAGATACCCGATTTGGTCACCAAACACACAGGTAGAAATGCCCCAACATCTCGATTAAAAATATTCGGTTTTAGTGCCAAAACTGCGACAGAAAAATGCCCCAACATCTCGTTTGAAATAACCACTTTTGTCGCCCTAAACACAGCTGGAAATATCCCAACATTTCATTAAAAATACCTGGTTTTGTTGCCAAAACAAAATTGAAAAATGTTCCAACGTCTTGTTATAACAATTTAGATACAATTCCCGAAATTTAGGAACCCAAGAGATGACTGCTTAAAATAGTTGTAAAATTGCCCCAATAAATCCCTTAATTCTTTCAGTTAGATGAGCCCAGAGCATAAACCAGTCGGCACATTCAGGTCAGGACAAATAACAGCTCTGTGTGACACTTAAACCCCCTGATTTTTAGGCATTAGTGAGTTCCTGCAGCTCTCCATCAACACAACGCCTGAGAGGAGGCCTGGAGAATTTTCCAATTAGGCGGCATGAGCTCGTCTCAAAGCTGCAGATGAGATGCACAGCCGCATCGCTGCAACTTGACATTCCTGACAGCCACTTGTGTGAACTTCCATCTGTGTGCCGTCCATGCACCAGAGGTTTGATGACAGAGCGGTGACAGCAGAGTCACAGATGCCGTTGCTGAGAATGTCATCGCTGGCTTGAGAATAACCACGTCCTGCTGTCTGCAAGAAATACAACTTCAGCCTAATGAGACAGAGAATGGGGAGGTTTAGGATTTGATTTGTGTGTGGTGTGAGTGTGCGTGCTAGTGTGTGTCCAGCTAGTTGAGTCATTCTGTGTCTTGGAGATGTCCTCATTATGTTGCCAGGTTGCTGTTGTTCCCTGGAACAGAGGTCATCATGCCGTAGTATCTGCGGGATACAGCTTCTAATGCGGCTTAAAATGCTAAGTGATGTTCAATTACTCACAGATTTACAAAATGGGAAACTTTGTCAAACAGCACACTGTACAAACAACACATGAAAAATTCATTGTCCCCAGAGGATGAATCTTAATGACCGGTTATCCCCTGACTTTTTATTTAGTGCAACCAGCAGCTCAAGGTTTTCTCTTATCAAGTGAAATATCTCAACAGCTACAAGATGGAGTGGCACAATTTTTTTACAGACATTCAAGATCCCTAGACAATGAACTGTAGGTGTGCCATCATGAGATTGGCATGTGGTTTAGAGTGAAAGTCCAAACATCTACTGGATAAATTGCCATTAAAATTTAGCACACACATTCATGTTCTCCTCTGGATCTACTGTGATAACTTTGGTGTTGACCTCTTGGTTGCACTTGATGAGTAATTTGTCTAATACTTTGGTTCATGACAAAATATCTGACAAACAAATGACATTCCCATCTAGTTCAGTGGTACTTAATGTCTTTATGTCTATGCTAATTTGCAATTGTTTGCATGCTAACACGTAAATGCAAATGGTGAACATAGTTAACATCATACCTACTAAACATCAGCATGTTAGCACTGTCACTGTTAGCATGTTAGCATTTAGCTCAAAGCACAGCCTCACAGAGCAGGTGATCGCTCAATTTATGGTGCCCTGTCAAAAAATGCTACAGTTGCTTGAACTGATAGCAGATTCACTCTATCCCATTGAAAAATGATAACTAACAGGGATAAGTGTACTCTAAGAATATGTGGGGCATATTTTGATACTCTATTGTAACATATTTATTTGCGATTTCAGGGGTAGCACATTCCGATAGATCTATAGCCTATGCCTCATCGAATAATGTTCCCACTACAAAATCATTTTATATTACACCTATTCCATGTAGTCTTACATATACCGTAGAACCGCATAGCAGGCTAGCACATCTCAGTAGGTGGCAGCACATATCGATAGAACAGCAGCTGCAGAGTTTTAGTTTTGTTCTTTAAGGCTATTGGTAGAAAATACAGTACAATGGTGTAGGCTGAAAACGTTGTGCTATGCTACAAAACTGAAATACAGCCAGATTATATGACGTCCAACAGGCAACTTGTCATCATAGGGAAAAGTCTGGTTTGCTATAAAGGTAACTGGTGAGTGCCCAAGTCTGTTTGGTTTTCAGGTATTTACACATTATTGAACACCAGGTCAGATATCTTGGAAATAAATCAGAGAATCACAGTCACACGCTGTTTACAAGTCAGACACTGGACTGATTATTATAATAAGAGGCTGAGCAGCACATTGAACAGTCCAGCAAATAAGATTTGCACGTGGACTAGTATACTATGACTAGGAGGATGAGGGGCAGGTGTACAGGCAGGTGATGATCAGGTGACTGCTGGGCAATGGCATAACAACAAGGTCTGCATGACAGGAAATGTTTCAGCAGGAAGATTCTGTA